TGTGGCAAAAAATATAAAATCCACCCTCAACGCTCACTGACAATATTTACTTACTTGTTTAATTTAGTTGGATTTCATTTGGCAGAATTGTCAGGGTTTAAAAATGGTAGCAATATTTAGTTTTGAACACTTTTCTCTGTGGTCGGCTGCATTACCGGAACATTTTGTCTGGTTCCTGTAAAGTAATAGCTGCCATCATAACTGGCCCTCTATCTGACATGTAGCCTCATATATCTTTGGAAGTGGGCTGGGTTTTTTTTTTGTCTCACTGTCAGATTAATAGGTTTTGTTAGATTTAAGGTTCAAGCATCAGCTCCTTCAGATCACTGCTTCTTCATTTAAAAAAAAAAAATCATTTTTAACAGGGGCGGAGCTAGGGGGTGGCCACAGGTGCCGTGGTCACCATAGAAAAATCTGCTACCCCACTAGCCACCCCCTACCATTGCTTCAACAAAATCTGTGGCAAGTTTCAGACAAAGGTAATACTCAAAGAGGTAATTTTTCATGTGAACAGGTGGTGGCAGTGTTTGATATTATGAAGTTTAATAGGTTTGTATGGCGAAAGCACCGTGTGCAATAGTTTTGTGCTCTAAACTGTAGATACCTTGTAAGATTTTTCACCATTTAAAAGACAATAATTTCACATTATTGTTATTTTAACTAGTTTAGGAACACATTTAGGAGCTTACGCGGTTCTTCATGACATCATTTATAGGGGTGTAACGATACATCGATTTATCTATTAAATGACTGATTCAATCATCCATCCATCCATTATCTTTACCCACTTATTCCATTTTGGGTCACGGGGGTCGCTGGTGCCCATGTCCAGCAATCACTGTGCGAGGGGCGGGGTACACCCTGGACAGGTCGCAAGTCCATCACAGGGACACATAGAGACAAACGTTCACTCTCTCACTCACACTTAAGTGCATGTAAAAGTGTCCTGATTATCTTTCACTTATAAAGAAACACAAATAGATACTGAGTTTACATAACATGACTATCAATGCCGTGTTTCTTCTTCAGGTGAACGGACAAATTTATTGTGTTTCCCGAGTATTTGAACTCTCACTGGCACATGTTGCAAACGACATGAGTTCTGTGTGTTGAGCCGTCCTTCTGTTGGAATCAAAATATTTCCACAGAGTTGATTTAAATCCAGCAGGAGAGTGAATTTCATTATCTGTGTTTTCTGCCTCGTCTGCCATGTTGCTGAGGCGGCCGCAGAGATTGGTAACTCTAAATTGTCCCTAGGTGTGAGAAATGTGAGACTATACTGAACAGGTCATTTATTTTATTTTTTCATTAATCAAGAATAAAATGTTTGTTTTATTTAAATGCCTGGTGCTTGTAATAACAGAAATAAAGTGGTTAAATCATATTTGAATTGTTTTTGTAAATTTATTTAAATGTAAATGAGATGGGCATTTGATATCGCAATATATCGATCGCAGACTTGTGAATCGAATAGAATCAAAATCGTATCGTGACAGACTTTGATGTTGAGAAAAATTGTATCATTATACAAACAAATCAACATAATATCGTATCGTGGTAAAGCTGGTGATTTACACCCATAGTAATTTACGTAGTAGGCACTGCCTGTCTGAGTAAATGACAGAAACGGTTCTTGATTCACAGGAACTTGCCATGTATGAAAAATGGTAGGCTCTGCCAATTTTCATTCCAATAAAAAGATCAAATATAAAGTTAATCAGATTCCTGTATTGTAAAGAGGGTATAATCAGGAACACGCTTTCAATCACAGAATTTTCACAGTTTATTAAAACTCCCTTATGATACAAATTCCACTAATGCCGACTTTTCTTTCATACTTAAGAGAATAAAATCTGCTTCTGAAACAAAGTTAGTGACTTTTGTTCATGAACCTACAAAAATAATGTCAGAAAACCTCAATCACTCTATCATGTCAACATGCAAATACTCTAACAAGACACGTTAAAACAGATTAATGGTTAGTCTACAATTAAATGTTTAATCCGAACTGCCTGGAAGTGAACCCAACAGGTAGAAAAGGTACAAGTGTTTGATCTGAATCATAACAGTGCAAAAAAAACCAAAAAAAAAAAACAGTAAAAATACTGAAACTAATAAATTATACACAAACAAAAAAATAGTTAATCCAAATGTTACTGATGTGAAAATACTGCAGAATATATCGTTTGCAATAGTTATAGAACAATGGGAGTGATAAAAGCTACAAAAACGTCAGACTTGTAACGATCTTTGCTCGAACAGAAAGAAAAGCATCTGAGAGACACGCACGCTGATCACGTCATGGCTGATGGGTGTGCATCGGTCTGTGAGTCCCAATCTAAAGCTTATGATCAGCCACTAGAATGGCTCACCTGGCATAAGAGGAGGAGGACACTATACAACACTACAGCGCAGCCTGCAAACCATTAAAACCAGTAACGTATCCTAACGCCAGGTCTAAACTGTAGGACACCTCTGATAGTAGTAACTAAGTAAATATAATGTTATAAAGTCAAGACACAAGCTGGTCTTAGACTTGACCTGCCAGGCTCTGAAGAGTCCCAGCACACCCCAGCTTTTATTACAGGCTGTCTATAGAAAGATACAAAAGTCGTGATGGGAGAATATTAGATATTCCTGCAATAATTCAACAGGAAGCACCGAGTTTAACCTACGGAAATGACAACAAGCAGTCAGGGGGGAGCAGACGAGAGACGATTGGCATCCACGTGATCGCAGTGATGAATGTACGCCATGCAAACATACAGAGACAATTCGAACATGGAACATACTGGTAGTTAAACTGCAGAATTATAAACCAATTAATACCAGCTTTCATGCTCCTGCAAACTGCTACAGCAGACGACACCATTAGGACACGCATGCAAAGTTTAGGCCACAGTCACTCAGATTCACTGACAAGCTGGGCCTAAAACAGGAGTCGTCTTGTGGATTGAGAAAACGAATTAAGCTAGTAATCTGATTTATCGATGGAGGCTTGGTTTGTTTGTTGGGAGGGAACTGATAAAAACATGTTCAACAACCTGACACCTGAGAACTCCCGGGGCTCTTTGTGAAACTTGACGTTTCTCTCAGATGTGCAGACTGAAGCTAAAAGAAAGCTGGAGGTGTGTGACCCTTCAACTCAAATAAACACCAACAGTTAGGAGAAATGCTGCAATAAATATATAAACTGTAAAACTTCAGAAAGTAAAAACATGTAGTTTCGTAGTCGTGACCTCAGACACGTTAAGTCTACCGTGTGTCTGAGGACGTCACGCTAACCTTTATCAGCACGTCTTAAAGTGAGGTATTGAAAAGGCAACACACTGGTTCTGGTGTCAGTACCAGGTCACTGGTGTTAAAGGGATGTTTCAAACATTTTGGAGTGGGGTTCTGTGGATAGGTTAGAAACAATTAATGTCTTAACTGTTGCAGATAACTCTTGGAGCAACCTCAGTTTAGAGAAGTTTGAGCAGCCAAGACCAAAGTCCCGTCCTGCAAGGACTCAAATTTCCCTAATTTGATCGAGGTTCGTGTAAAGAGCCCGTTAAACCACAGGAAGTTTTGCATCACACGTATTTACATTTCTATAGTTATGTGCAAGCACAAACAGCAGCAGCAGGTAGCTGTAGCACTTCAGGTGCAACGTGGGGTCACTTGTGGTGGGGGTGTTACAACATTCCTGCTAAAGTAACTATGGAATACAAAAGCATAAAGGTTTAAACAGTCGTGTTTATGAGGTTTTCAAGCTTGATGCTTCACTGTAGAAGTGGGTTCACTCAAATTAACAAATCCTCCCATCAAGAAAATCAACGTGGACCCACTTCCAAAGTGAATTTAGCCATCTGCTACACTTCTTTATGATTTATGGAAAGTCTATTTATAAACTTCTACATCTCCCTCAGGTTAATTTTACACTGGTGTTTGGACAGAAAGGTGAATTCCTGCCAGAAGTGACCTCTGGCAACACAGGTGCTACAGCTTGCAGCTGCTTTTTGAGCTTACAAATAATGATCAGACTCCAGACCTGCTCAAAGATGAACTGGCAGGACGTAAAGCTCGATGAAACTGGGTTTGAATGAACCGCTGTAGACAGAGATACTCTTCAGTCTTGCCGTAAGCCAGCCTGTCCAGTAAGAAACGAGGTAGTTCAAAGAGCTATCAGCAACAGGTAAGACACTAACTATTCATAGCCCTTCCACAGAACCCCACTTCAAAATATGCAGAAACTTCCCTTTAATGCCTGGCCCAAGTTTAATTAGCTGAAGTTCACAAACACCTAGTGGTATGTGGAGGTCTGTAGTGACAGCCTTATTTGAGGTTAGGAAACAGAACAGTGGCTTCCTGTCAGCCAAGCTGCTGGCTAGTACAAAAACAAGTGGTTATGAAAAGATCAAAGACAAAAAGAAAGCACACTCACAGTCCCAAACACAAAGTGCACTTATCGTTAAACCAGAATAATACAGTAACATCAAGAGATTCTTCCCCCACCACCAAGACCAGAGCAAGCTCAGCAACCAATCCAGAACCCCCCAGTTCATGTCTGTATGAACGTATGACCTGCCGCATGCAGACTGGATTCAGATATTTCACGAGGAGCAGAATATGACGAAGTCTTTCAGACGGAGTTAAACAGAAGCCCTCCAGCACTTTAGCCTGGTGTCAGACTCTTTAAATGGGGAGTGGTTATCTGGATCACGAAGAAGCAACACGCCACGACGCTTTAAAAAGAAGAAATACGAGTGAAACTCTTCAATATTTGACCCATGATGGGCAGCTCCAGCTGCTCGGTGTCGTGTGTAGTGGTTCCAGCAGAGCCACCGAGTTCCAATGTTGTCGTTTACACAGTACAGGAATAACAGAGGCCACGGCATCTCCAAGAAGTTAGCAGAGGTTTCTGCTCCAGCTGGAGATTTTCTTCCTTCTCAGGATGCTGCCTTGAAGAAGATGAGGGGGGTGGGGGGGGGGGGTTGCAGTTTGCTGTAACAGGTTCTCAGTAGTTGTGTACAGCGTTCTCCTGCCGATGTCCATGGAGATGTTTAAAGAGTACAAGCTCAGGCCTCGGAGCTCAGGGAGGTCCGTGTTGGGCTGGGGGGGAGGCGAGCTGCTGCACTGTGCTCGGTGCGGAAACTGTAATCATACTGAGACAAAGAGAGCAACAGAATCAGTCCATCCTTTACTGTCACACCTTCACCAAGACACTCTGAAAGGCCCGTGAAGCGACCTACCACAGTGCCCTCTCCTGGATAGGATGTGGAGCTGCAGTAAACCTTTGAGGTCATTCATTGGTAGAGACCATAAGAGGCTCGTCTCATGAAAACTGAAAGTTTTTAATGATCTTAACCCAAACCAATCATCCACATCTGCATAATCAATGCAGCAGGCTGTCAAAATATTAACATCTAGAGTTACATGGTGACTGAGGACACAGATATGGTTAGGGAGCAACAAAACTAGTATTTTATGGCCTGTCAGAGAGCCTGTGCTGGCTAAACAAGCAACCACTGACAGGTAGATAATCAGAACTGACACAGTAACTTTGAAAGTGAAGACTGTAAGAAGAGACATTTTATTACCTCTTTTTCAATTTCAGCCAGTGACTTGATTGTCATGCCCATAAGGTCCACCTGCTGCAGCTGCGTAAAGACAAGGTACATGAGGTGGGATGAAATTGTGTACACAGGGTCCCAGTTACACCCAAAATTAGCAACAAAAAAAAAAAGTATAAATAGAAACCGTACACAAGAATCAAAGATATATGCTAAACACTAATACTGTAAAACAATGCGGTGTATTAAACAGCAGCCTGAACATGAGTCTGTAGTGAGCAGATGGGTGTGAACACAGCAGCTTAAAGGCAAGAGATCAGCAGCAACAACACGAATGGCTGCTTAAAGATCAGCTCTATGAAGATGCTCTAGATTACTTCCCTCAGCATCACTTCGGTGCTCAACTAGAGCGGAGCTGTCAAATCACACTGCAGCTCACTGCTCCAGAATAAACACTGGTCCCCAGTAGAACTCCCTACTGGTACTAAAATAACAACTTGTACGACTTACATCTGAAGAGGCGCAGGCAAACTTCTCAGAAATCATGAAAGGCACTCCATCCATTGCTGAAAAAGACAATTCAAAAACTTTTCACATTAATGCATCATTGTAAGAAAGCCAAGAAACATTTACACAAATCATCTTGACTAGACAACGTTCTGTGGAGAATAACACTTTTGTCAAAAACAAATACATTACCGGTAAGTATGTACAACTAACTACAGAAGCTTGGGCCCATTAAAGCAGTTATTATGTAATTTATATGTAGTTTTACAAACGTTCATCTGTGGTAATCACACAAATATTCTCCAGGAAATGTTTGTTATTTAAATGAATAGAGAGGTTTAGGTACAGCTGTTCACACCTGGCATTAAAGTGTCTGGAGTGATGAGATCAGTTGATCTACATGCAAATAAACATTCACTACGTCACACATTGAGCAACAAACAGGACCTGAGCAGGTCTGCTGCCGTTTCTGTACAAACAAATGCATTTAATCTTTTTTTTTTTACATTTACTCGGCTCAGCTGTTCTGAACTTCTGTGGCGTTATTTAACCTAAACAGTTCCTATGAGCTTAATTACCTAAAAGAGTAAATGTAAGAGAAGGAGCATGAAATAAGTTGTCGTATCAAAGCTGTTGGAGCAAAGGCGTTGAAGATTTTAACTCGTAAAACTTCATTAGAGTAAAACACCCACCAGCTGTTATGTACATACGTTTACAGTAAACATTACATCAGTGGTGCGTTTGTGTTAGTGAATATAACGTGAAACAACAGTTCAGATTGTGATGACGCATAACGAGAACTTATGGTGACCACAGCAGGTCCAGTCAGCTCACAAACAACCAGAACAAACAGATACTCACCATATAGCACGCTGCTAATCCACACACAAATTCATGACAAAAATTGACATCTTTATTCAAAATGTATTGCAATAAACAGTTGGGGTGCACCGATAAAGCTGATTTATTGGCCCCGATTTCCTTAATTTTGGGAAATCAAAAATCGTCTGATTTTGCATGAGAAGCTGATTTTACTCATTTTTGTTTGTTTTAACAACAACTGTCTGAACTTCATTTATATTTCAGATCACTACCTCATGGCCAGTTAAAATAAGTCTGTATTGTTTCTAGGATATTGTTCAAGGGCGTATTTTACAATAAAATAATATTGGATAATTGAAGGTGCGTTGTGAACTTATAACACCCGACAGAGTCGTTTATAAAACAAAATCAGAATCGGCAGCTCGGACTTTTTTAGAAATCAGTGCACCCCTACAAACAATTTATTAGCACTTTCAGAAAGAAAAAAAAAAGTTTCTACAGAATATTTAACAAAAATGGCTGTTTAATTATTTTAAATGTATTAGTATGTATCTAGTATTCTCAAGTGTGTTGTATTTGCAGACGATGCAACTTTCTTTTGTTCGGGTAAAGACTTAAATCAGATGTTTGAATTAATGAAGATTGAGTTTGTAAAAATTCATACTTGGTTTAAATTAAATAAATTATCACTTAATCTAGAAAAAACAAATTATATGATATTTAGTAAAAAAAAAAAGCCATCTATAGATTTTCCTTTTGAAATTGATGGTGTTGTGATAGAAAGAGTGAGTGAAGTAAAGTTTCTGGGAGTGATTATAGATGATACATTGACATGGAAAAAACATATTAATTTTGTAAGAACTAAAATTTCCAGGTCTATAGCAATGCTACATAAAGTACGAGAATTTCTGACTGATAAAGCATCGTGTCTACTGTACAATACAATTGTGCCACATTTGATTTATTGTGTTGCTATCTGGGGTACAGCTTGTAAAACTGCAACCAAGTCTATTTTTATTTTACAAAAAAGAGTTATAAGAGTTATCGCAAAAAAGCATTATCGCCATCCTTCAAGTATTTTGTTTTATCAACTGAAAATTCTTAAGTTTTATGATTTGGTTGATTACAATATTCTATTATTTATGTACAAGGCTCAGAACCAAAATTTACCATCAAACATACAAGTGTATTTCGTTAAAAGGAATAGTTGTTATAATTTAAAGGGAACAGATATTTTTGTAAAGATGAAATATAGAACAAGTTTTAAGGGCAGGTCTACTTTGATCAAGGGAATTAGTTTATGGAATGGTTTGGATAATGATATCAAAAAGGAGAATTCATTAGTTGTATTTAAAAAAAAAGATTAAGAATGTATTGATGATGAAATATATTTAAGTTGGATAATGGTATGGAATTATAATGAATTGTGATAAGCTTTATGGTTGGTTGTATTATGTATTGTTTGAATAGATCGTTTTGAATTGATATTGTTTAGAAGGGGCAGAAATGATAAGAATTCGTTCTTCTTCTGCTGCCTTTCATTTTATATGTATCTTATTTTATTTGTATGGAATAAGTCTTGTTTTAACTGAAATGAAATGAATGAATAAATAAATGAGCCAATTGCCAAACTTTTTTTTTGTGTTTAAGGTAATTACGTCTGCTTGCACGGAGCTACACTGGCTCAGCAGGAAGTCCTACAGGATGGTTTGTGTTCAGACTAGAAAACTAATGTACCTAAAACCTCCGAAGACGGTTTGAAGGAAGATGTCTGACTGCGTATTGAGCGTTCATGCCTGTGTTTAGTGCCGTCCAAGAGCAATCAGATCATCCAGGATGAATGTTAGTACCAGGTCTGGCTTCTTCACTAACACAGCAACAGAATTTAGACAAAGGAAGGACAATAATAATAAAAGAGGATAATAATCCATTACTGACCTGAGATAGCATAAAGGTTGGAGTTCTGGTGCTCATAGTCTGGTCTGGTGGTGTTCTTCCCTCTGAAGCTGGCAGGTAGAGTCATGGAAATATGCCTTTTAAGTAAGAACATGTTTAAAAGTTAAAAACAAAGATGGCTACAATCGTCAGCTACATTCAGACAATGTTAATGTTTAGTGAAGATCATAAGAGTGTTATCATCAGGAAACACGAGTTAGCTCTAAGGTCAGAGGAGCAGGAGGTGTAACAGAACAGGATACAGCTGGTGCTTCTTGAATGGCCACTTGATGTGCCGCAAGGACAGAACTTTAGTGGAGACAAAAATAAAAACACATCTTAGGGCTAAACCAGATGTTTTTGATCTTTAGAAAAGCAGTGACTCTTTCACTTTTGTTCACGAACAAAACAATGAAAACCATTATCACAACACTCTGATAAAAAACGGACGATCATTTCTCTAAAGACGTCTTAAATTTGTTATTATTGGGCTTTTTTCTACTGGAATGTAAAACATTAATGGACACTAAATATTTGTTGCATTCATGTTTTCAGTGGTCATTTTGAACAGACCAGTCAAATTTAAAAAATGTAACAGTAAAGCACCTTTGCCTGTAGGAATTACTGTTTTAAAGAGCAACAAGACTATTAGGGCCCACACTTTATTGTGACGGAGTGAGCCCTCTTTTCTAGAGAGGATCTTTGAGTCCTGACAGATTGTCTTTGAACTGGCGGTCAACTTGGAAGACAGTCGGCGCTGATCCTCTCTCACACATCTGGAAGTTTAAAAGTGGTGGCGTTCCAGCAGCTCTTTGACTGCAGCAGCGTTTTACCTAATTTCAACATATTTTGCTTTTGCTTATTGAAAAAACACATGAATTTTCTGAAGGTGGAGGAATGCAGCAGCTCAAGATTTCTTCTTAAAAGGTGAAAAGAGACGCTGGCACTTAGACTCAAAACATTTTCAAGGACACGTCACCAATTTTTAACTTTAAACATTTAGTGGATTCCAGTAGTAGTATAATTTCTTGATATAATACTATAATTTTCAAGCAAATACAAGAAAAACGTCACCCGAGGTGAAGAAGATCTCACTATGGTCAACTATTTCAAGATATTTCATTTTTTCTTATTGACGTCAACATAACACTTGAATGCTGCCAGTCTTGATCTCATCCACTGAGATATACAATAATAATAATAATCATTATACAAAAAATAATAATTACTAGACAAAAATCAACATTATCTAATCATAATTCAGGCACAAAACATGTGATTATGTGTATGTAAGAACATTATTTACTTGGGCATCGGCGCGGCGAGAACCGGAGCTGGGACTGTGGAAGAGTTGACATTTTGGACGTTGTTGGTGGTCGGCGTGTGCGTCGAGTCCTGAGCACGAAGCACGTTCCCCATGCGATACCAGATTCCCATGTTGTTGAGCTCACTGTAAAACAATGTTAGCAGCTTTAACAAGGGAAAACATAAAGGCCAAGATTGGGAGCTTTAGATCAAGTAGATTCACTTCATCTTTTACAAATGCAGAACAGACCCGTTTTGATTTGTTGGTTTTTTCAAAAATGAACAAGGATCGAGTAAACCAGTCTGATATTAGTCACGTAAACACTCAATCAGGGGCCGCACAGCACATTAAGTTTTTCTTAATGATTCAGCCAGGAAGCGTTTGTCAGCAATTTTTAAATTTATTCATTTTTATTGACATTTATAAATATATTTAACGTATAAATCCACTTCAATTATTAGTAATCAATTTAAATGCTTTTTTTTTAGACAAGGAAACAAAAACAACAAAAACCTAATAATAAAAAACAACAAAGGGAGTAAAAGTGGTTTTTGTTACAGCCGATATATCGTTCAGAAATTGCTCGGTCTATATCTGGTCTACGTGTTTTTATAAAAACCATCCAGTTCTTCCAGCGTAGAATAAATCTGTCCTTTTCATCGTTTACTTCTGCACTTACTCTCTCCATCCTGTATATGTTCATGTTGAGCTCTCCAGTGAAAGACCATTTTTCATGAGGGCTTTTTTGCACGCCACTAATAAAATATTAAAACAGATATTTATCTATCTTTGACCATCCTTCAGGCGCGAGTCCAAAAAACAAAACTTTACTTTCTAAAGGCAGTTGACGTGCAATAATATCTTGCATTGCTTTATGCATCTACTTCCAATAAGTTCTAATGACTAAGCTGGAGAGTGACCTTTATAGTGGGATTTTTGGTAGGGTGTAATAAAATATCTTCGAAAGCAGCAATTTTCAATCAGTTTTAAATAGTCTTAACTTTAGCAAAAAAAGTCATTCATCCATTTAACCCGTTTACATTTTAAGAAAAAAAATCCTTTAAAATACGTCTGTAGGATTTCTAAAATTAACTGTTCTGCAATCAAATGGAGCACTTGTTTGGTTTTGGTTCCATTCAAAAGCGAACACCAACTTTAATTCCCAAACAGCAGACCTATATTTGTGTTTAAACCTTTGTTTGATGCTGGATGAACAGTTCCTCAACAAGCTCATTTACGGCTGGCTCGGTGTGCAGACACCACAAGGAGGACGTGTCTTCAAGCAGGGACTCATGTCGGCCAGTGGATGTAACAAAGTTTTACAGGTTGAAGTGACGCGTCACAAAAACTAATGGAATAATTTGAAACTACACCATGAATGTCATCATGCAAACACAGAAGAGAGAATATGAAAAGATTTAAACACCGCATGGTATTTACCCTATAAAGGTGTACTGAGGAGGCGCCTGCTTGGAGCGTCCCAGGATGCGGATGTCACAAATAGCTGCCTCAGTAGAGTCTCTTGGAATAAACTTGATGCAGAGCCGCCTCTTCCTGAAGGCCTGCTCCTCTGCAGGAAACCAGACGGAAGGAGTTTCACTCCCACGGCCAACAATACGCTCACTAAACAAACAGCTAACAGGTCTAATAATCAGATATAAACACATTTGACAGATCAATAATCTGAACAACTTTTAAATATATTTTCCATTTCGCAACAATTCCTAGGGATTTGGACTTGAGCTAATCTCTTACGAGTGTCAACAGTCTCCTGGATCGGGATGAAACCCACTGGCAGAGTGTCCTTTATGTCAATCAGTTTCATGTCCACAAGAACGTTACCTAAATGGCTCTACAGAGAAAGGGACAGAGGACAGCAGAGATAGATCATTAATAGATAGATCAAGGACAGATATTTGGGGACATCAGGGGGAAACAGAAGGTTTGCCTCTAACCAGCTTATAATACATTTATGAACATAATACTGTTGTTGAGTTGGTTTGTGAATCGACTTACATTTTCTTTTGAGAAAACTCTGGTGAAGCAAAGGTAACGAGTCACCTTGGATTTGAAAAGGCCATCTTTCCACAGGTCAGCATCCAGGCCATCTGTTGTTGTAGATATCTGGAGGTGAGGGATTCAAGAAGAGTCATCACTGAACTGAGACTAGAGTTACAAGCTCTGTGTCAGACGTGCAGAGGGGCCTGAATGGGTCCAAGGGAACCACAGCAACTAAATTTACACTTTCATCCATACATATAGGCGTTTAAATTATTTGCTTAGTCTTTTAGTCACATTTTAAAAACAAAACATTTTTTGGAAATTATTTTTTTCCTACATACAATTAATACCTTAAGTCAACTTTAAAAATAATTTACTTGTTGGTAAATTGCATGTTACTTCAGCATTTCAGACATTCATTAGTTCTAAGTACTGCCATGTAGTTTACCACATCATATCCAGTGGGTGCCCTGTTCCTAGAGGCAACCACTCCAACTCCAGTGATGGGGTCCATGGACATCTCCGGCAAAGCCTCAGAAAGGTCCCGAACCTCAGGCATGTTTGGAGAGCTCTACAATAAAAATTAACAATCTGAGGTTATTCACATATCACAGCAAAGTGTCACTCACTCATATGTACACACACAAACACAAATTTAGCTTGACCAGCTGTGATGATGACAAAAAGAACAGGCGCTCAATAATACTTCTTTGTAAATGCCTAAAAAAAAAACAGCCAACTAGCACCATCATAACACATCTACTGTGTTTTACCATGTGAGGAAGCCATTTAGACTGCTGGACATGGGCACCGGCGACCCCCGTGACCCAAAAAATGGAAGAAGCGGGTAAAAGATAATGGATGGATGGAAGCCATTTATTGGTATTTGTAATATCTAATAATTCAGGGAAAAGTTAAGAGATGCAAGATAAAGATGGTTTGGATGTGCAGAGGAGGCACAGCGGACATATTGGAGGACATATACAGGAAACAGAACGAGACAGATAACATTAAATACATAATGTTTAGAAAAACGGCATTGCTTTCCTTTATTATTAGTTATTTTAAGAAGTTTCGTCCACTATAATCAGACGCTGTGAAAAAAGTAAACTTGACTGAGTTAAATAAATGAAGTGTAAGAGATAATACATGGTTAAGTAACTATAACTGTCTAAACATGATTAAACTAATGAGAACACACTGAATATGATTAGCATGGAAACAGCCCATGGTTAGGGTCAACTCTTATTTAAATTGAAAGCACTTGTTATACAAGCACCACTTCTTATATGAGCAGAAGAGAATGGTTTACTACTAGGACATGTTACATTAATTAGGTCTCCAACATCTGGTGCAAAGATGGGGCTTACACTATCTATGGAATGTGTATGAGGCTAACAGAAAATCACATAACCCCGTTATTTATTTTTCAAAATGATATGTTACTGAATGATAACTAGTCCTTTACAAACTGTGATGATGATTTCGATAACAGTTGGTTGAAGTTAGCCAACAGGCTAGCTAACGAGCCTGAGAGCTAGCATGCTAGCGGGGAGTGTCCTCACACATCAGACCTACGGGTTGTTGATGCTGTCCAGCTGGTTGTTGTTACCCCTCGGCAGATTTAAGAGCTTACAAACAGAACTCCTTCATTGTCGTAGCCCAAACAAAAGCGGATTCGCAGACGCTTGAAGTTCAGACACCGTGCAGGCAACAGAGGCTAATGTTAGCATGCTAGCCGAGGAGCGGCACTTACCCAGCGGGGCTAACGACAGTTCAAGTCTCGTGTTTACTTCTGCGCTTTGCTCTCACCCACAGCTCCTGGGAGACACGCGTGTTTAGGACATTTTCATGTTCGGCGAAGCAATCCAGAACATTAGTTGTTTGGAGGTTTAGCGTTAGCGGTGCTAACGCTAAACCATTTATTGTCGGGTCGGTGTTCGGAGAACTGGAGGACCCGCAGCTCGCCCCCTCCCCTTCACTACGTAATAAACACGCATTAATCCAGCAGCCCAGTTTATTTTGCGTCTGTTGTCTCAATCATTCTGTCACAGTAAGTGGAGGACCGCCTCCAGGTCGTGTACATACTGTGCACATGTGCTGCAGGGCTGGAGTGAGGAGGGTGTGGATCTCTGGGCTACTAATGGGGCCCCATTTATAAGTTTTTTAAAATGGATAAAAGTTGTGATTGGTAGGCACAGCCAAAAAGTTAGCTTCGCTAAACCATATCCTGCTAACTAAAAAAAATAGCTTAGTTAATACTAAACGTGTTTTTAAAAATTGCAGAAGCTTCAATTGTCTCCTTTCAGCTGAAGCTGCGTCGACCAATCACGTAACGCGTTCATAGTAAGCCAATAGCGTTCCTTCAGCTGAAGCTGCGTCGACCAATCACATCACGCGTACACGTAGTAAGCCAATAGC